CTTAATGTTTAAGTTAAATAAATAAGTTGTTCGTACAATATATTTTAAATATTATCATTTCTGTTTACAATGTAAATATTGACTTCAACAAGCAAAAATTTTTTACTTAGCTTGTGTTTTAAATATTAGTATAATTATTCAAATATGTATATTAAGAAAATACTAATATTTTTATACAATGCTATGAATTTGTGTTATTGTTTAATATCATTAAACAACGTTCGTATACAGCATGTATCTTCTGGAAATGGCATTATATATTTTAAGATGTGAAAAGTAAAACACGTATACTATGCCATTAAATGGTAATAAATAAAAAAAATGATCATAAGAAAGATTAATCCCTTTATTATTATGTTTATGTTTTCAGATATTATAAATATTTCATTTCTGTAGTTCCTTATATATACGTTACATTCTGTACAAAGTAAAATCATAATACAATAATGAAAATTCATTTGTTTATTCATAGAAAAACAATATACTATACCAGATATACTTTGTGATATCGTTTCAGAACTTTGTATAGTGTTTCCTTGAGTCTGGGTCGAAGTTGTACTTGTGTAAACACATGGTAAAATACTATACGCAGATTTTGATAAACCAGCAGTACTTTTAAATTCGTCTTTGAAGCCGGAACCTTCTTGTATAAGTTCCATAAGACTTGTAACACCAATAGCAGACGCACTATTGCCTGTTTTATTGGAAGACACTGAAAGTATTAAACTTCGATAAATGTTTGTATTTGTCAAGTATTCACACAGTTTTTTATAACACTGTAACAATATTCGTAACTGAACATTTTCGACATATTTGTCATAGTCCTTGCACCAGCCACACGAAGGTTTAAGTTTTTTACGTCCACCTCTGCACCCACGACACACATGATGCTGACAATTCGTTTCAGTCGGCGTATGGGGTTCAATTAATAAATTTGAACACACAGTACAACTAAGGCTTTGTCGCAAATACGGAACTAGCCTATATAGATCTGTCCACGAATTCGGATCATCAGCGTCTGCTTGTAAAACTAACCGACACGTCGATACGTAAAGACTCGTGGCGTTCATTTTTTTCCTAAATTTTCCACGAGCAATACGTATTATTACACCGGGAAATTAACTAAACAAAGCAACACGACATTGTCAATACACACAAACAAAACATCAGCCATATTTAATTTTCTATCGTTTACATTCATAGAGGGCTCCTTGGAGTTACTTTGATTAACAGATACGAATAGATAGTGAAATCTTATGGTGGTGCGCCGGCAGAAAAATCTTCATTACCAACAGGGAGTACTATAAAATAGATCGTCATTTTTATAACATAAAATCTACTGTTGTCATAAATATTTATTCATATTATTAAAGTACATTATAGCAAACATGTAATTATTTCATAGTTAAAATAGTTACTAAATATTATATTATATAGATAATAAATAGTAGAAAATAGTTATAGTGGAAATCTTTCCACGCCATCTATGAATACAATAAAAAGGTTATTCGTGTTTAAATATTTAAAATACAAAATGAAGTTAACATGGGAAATACAATAATCAATATTTAACATTGTAAACAATATGAATTGTTTTAACTGTTAGGCTATGATTGTATCATGAGATGGTGGGGATAAAAGTGTGATGCTACAGGGGTTGTCAAAACGCGAAGTTACGGAGGGAACAATGTCGAACAGAATTACCTCATTCCTATCTATAATACGAAGTTTTGTGGTGTGGACCTCCGCGTTACGTGCATATAGCTATCTATGTGCCTAACAATTGATTAATTAAAATTTTTTACTTTCGACTTGTAATTTCTTCATATAATATGTTCGATAGTAAATATATGCAAAGCAATTATTTCGAAATAAGATAATGAGAAAAGCACATTTAATTGTTTTAGTATATTTCTCACGTTTTTCTATGAACATTGATATTGTTTTTATTCCTCGAGAATATATATTTCATATATATTTTTATCGATGACTACTATTTGTTAATAACGCTTAAAATTATTATATTTTTGTTATTGCAATAAAAAAACAAATACATTTTAAAGAGAGGAATTAAAATACTATTTACTTGTAATTTATGAACATTCTATACAATATTACATTTTTGTTAATATAACTTATGTATTAATAATATTGTTAGTGGTAATGTCAAAGAAATTTCGTGAAATTAAAAGTTAGAAATTCAAATAAATCGATTACTGACAGAAGAACCACGTGCGCTAACTCTCTAATCTGCACCACAGAACTTCATGTCATAGATAAGAGTACCGTATTTCATATTGTCTTTCGAGAAGCAAGAGTGGGGTGGACAAGTAATATGTCCAGCGGTGTACCTTACTTACCTACGTTATTTGTAATCATTTGGTTCTTTAATGTGAAATATGTTAAAACACAAATATTCTATGAAGTATTGAAACATGCGTTGCATGATAATGTCGAATTATAAAAATTCTTGAAGACGTCGTTTAAAGACCATTATATGCATAAATGATTATTACTGTGTTTTTCACGATTTTCAATTCTTGCAAACAAAGTAAAGTATCCGTATATTTATTACAAGGCTCAGTGTTATTCTTCGTTGAATTTACTTGTCATTTTTTTTTAGAAATAAATTTTATTTCTATACCTAAGATTATTGTCGAATAATTTTTATTCAATAAAGTTACATTCGCTCATACCCTATTAATATTTTAGGTTAATATATATACAGATGGCAGACAAAGCTATTATGAAGGTATAATTGTATAAATTACTTTTATATTGAATGTTTTATTCTTATATGGGAATTCTTAAAAATTATGATCATTCCAAATGTTTAGCAAATTGCTGAGCAGAAGCTAAAAGCATTTTCTATTGGCACAATGGGTAAAAGACCGTTAAGTAAAAAGGAATTAGAAGAACAACGTAAAAAGGAACAAGAACAAGCTGCAGCTCAGGTATGTAACAAATTTGAGACATTAAATTGAAACAAAACACTATATTTGACTTATATTATAGGCATTTGAGGAGTTTGTAGCAACGTTTCAAGAAACACCTAGTAAGACAACAAGTAAAGTCTGGGTGAAAGCAGGCACCTACGATGCTGGTAAACGACGTAAGTTTATTATATTCAACATTATCTTTGTTTATTATTCTTATATGTTTACATTTAACAGAAATTTCTTCTATTAAGTGTATTAGTATATAAAAATTCATGATGAATATTTCTTTAAAAAAAAATAAACTCTTTTGTTTCCACTAAGCTGATTATATTAGTGTTTTTTTCAACAGAGGAAGATACAAGAGAAAAAGGAAAGCTATATAAACCTCAGTCAAAAATATCGGAACTTGTTGACAGTCGATCATCAGCTGAACAGGCACAAGAGTATGCAAGATTACTCGGATCTAATGAACGAAAATTGGATAGACTGGGGAAAAAGAAAAAAGAAGGTGAAAAGAAAAAGAGTAACCTTGAACTGTTTAAAGAAGAATTAAAAATGATTCAAGAAGAACGAGAAGAAAGACATAAGTACAAAGGAGTAGTGAAAACTGTTATTTCTGCTCAGTCAGAGGATCCAATGATGGCAGCTTTAAAATGTGTAGAAGGTAATTAATTTCTAATCTAAGCATGGATTTTTAACTTTATATTCATGAAATATGTTTCAATAATGTACTATATATTGCATATAATATACAAAATAGTAAATTAGTTTGTAGAATCAATGAATTAATCATTATTGTAGTTGAATTTGCCATATATTTCACATCTTTTTAAAACTTTTTTCTAAAGATACATTCTTTGGCATTGTACCAATTATGTATAGTATATTGTGTATCACTGAGTTTTTTATATATATATGATTAAAGAAATAAATATACTGATGATGGTTAAGCAACTTATATTTTAAAAAAAAGTATATAAATTTTATTAATCAATTTTATCTTCTTTCTTGTGATTAAACTATTGAAGTTAACCATTAACCTAAAGTTAATGTTACTTATTGTTTTAGATTTTAACATACATTTAATAATGTATCGAAACTTACATATTACAGATTTCTTGTTACTAAAGATTATAAGTATATTTGTATTTAATACTAAAATGAATTTCTATAATTATTGTAGATCAAATAACTGATATAAACTCCTTTCTCCTGTCTTAAATTAACAATTTGAATTTGTTAAAACTTCTGATAGGTATATCCTCATATCCTGATCCTCGAAAGGCCAACTTACATAATCTTATTGATGATCCACGACTCCTTGCCCTGATTTATGAGGGTAAAAAGTACCCTTTTAATTCATTCCCATTGTTTCTTTTCATAATATGAGACACATATAACAAATGAAGGATTGTTTCTTTACAGATGGATCATTTGATAATGGTGATCCTAATACAACAAACTTGTATTTGGGCAATTTAAATCCAAAGGTATGCTTACTTTATAACTGTAGTTATATTAACTATGTTATATTGGACACAACATTTTGTTTATACTAGATCTTAATGAAAATAATTTATATCACATTCGTATGTAATAGATTACAGAACAACAACTAATGGAAATATTTGGCAAATATGGACCATTGGCTAGTATTAAGATTATGTGGCCACGTAGCGATGAAGAAAAAGCTAGACAAAGAAACTGTGGATTTGTTGCCTTTATGAGTCGCAAAGATGGAGAACGGGCTTTGAAAAATCTCAATGGTAAGATAACATTCTTAGGTTTGCTTTTATTGTTACTTACATTGTTCATACTGTGGTAAGATAATTCATTTATTATTATAAAACATTATTTTATTTTTATTGTCATAGGCCGTGATATAATGCAGTATGAGATGAAATTAGGTTGGGGCAAAAGTGTACCAATTCCTCCATATCCTATTTATATTCCACCTGCTTTAATGGAGATCACTCAACCACCACCTCCATCTGGTCTTCCGTTTAATGCTCAACCTCATCGTCGTGACAGACATAAGGTATATAAAACGAATGTATACGCACCTTTAATACGCTTACATCAATTTTATACTTTTCCTTTATGATTACCAGTTTTCTAATACATGTCGTGTTGCTTATACATATTGTAATGAGACATATTGTCTCTTTCAGTTAACTTTACCATCCCTTTTCATATATCTCGTTCATGTTTAAGTTCCTTCTGGTTTCTCTTTAAATTTGTAATTTATTTCTTATAAAGTTTGTTTTTTTTATTTAGTAATTCAAATGTAATGTAATTATTTCTAAATGTATCATTAGGTACCACGTATCCGCAATCTTCAGACAACAGATCCTCAAGAAAAGGAAAACTTTGAAAAGGTAAAATTATTTCCTTTTAATAGAATAATGTTTTCACTTCAGTGTAAAATGCTTTACCGCAATAAAACTTTAGACAGGCATTCTATCTTAAAATTAATGCTTTTAATGTTTTTAGTTAATATATTTAAAGACCATTGTCTTATCATAGTATTTCATAATTAAAAGAAATAGTAATAAAACAGAATTTAAACTATTCCGATGGTTATTAATAGCACCAGCGAATATTATAAAACCAATCAGTACTCATATTTTGACTTCCCTTATCAATAATATACAGTTATTAAAATTTAACTAATGCATGCTACCCGACTCATTTTACAAGTGAACAAACTAGGTATTACAAAAATAAATACCATTTTTTATTAATTCTTATGGGTCTACACATGTAACCATAATTAAATAAATCATAAAAACAAAAGTGGAAAGTATTCATATGTATATATATATACACATATATATGTATACTTACACACGTACACACACACACATACACATACACGCACACTAAAAACATTTCATTAATATCTAAATGTTGATTGTAACTTATGTTTGTAAACAATGCCATTTATATTAAATTGGCGATTATCGTATACACACACGGGATGGATTAATTTGGACTGGAACATCCACACAACTGTAACTGTTGTACTATAATGGGAATGTAATGGAAATTGTCACAGGTTTTGCAGAACGCGGTTGTCAAAGTGGTTATTCCAACAGAAAGGTATATTTTGATTTCAGTAATTTGAAAGTTATACTTCAGAATGTAGATAATCAACTGTAAAGATATTAAATACTCGCCGAATTTATGATCATTTTTTAACGAAATTCTGTACTATAGGAATCTAGTTATGTTAATACATAGAATGGTAGAATTTGTAATTCGTGAAGGTCCAATGTTTGAAGCAA